TCCATAGATTTAGGCAGATATAGAAACAGGAGTTAAAGCCCCTTTGAATGCGAGCTGAAATTTTCATGATGTAAAATGATCACAGAGCTAATTTTTCTGTAAGAAGTAGGACCTTTGTGTACTTTGTGATTATCTGTATAATGACATGAATCCTCCCCCCTCTAATACAGGCTTCAGTGAGCCTATATTAGATATGTTATTTCAAAATCTGTTTTGCTTGTTTTAACATAATTTAAACAGACTTATTATTTTTAAAAAGTCATCCCAATCTCTCCCTCTCTAGTAGCAACTTCATCTATGACTCTTCTCATTTTGTCTTTTTTGTATTTTTCCTTATTATCTCTGAATTAATATGTGTACTGCTGCCTTTTAGCTATTTAATTTTAGGCTTAACCTTTGACTTTCACAATAAAGATGAGGGTTTAGTTCTTTTTTAAAATCATACTCACTGTATGTATATATATTTCTATTCTCTTCCACGTAGGGTAATATATTTATTTCTTTGGTGTCCTATGTTTCCATCAAAAATTAATTTCTGAACACTCGATTTGTATTTAAAATGCAAAGTTGATTCTATTAATTTCAACAATGTGCAGATTGCCCTTCCAGAGTCTTTTGACCAGTTCTCAATGAGGCTTTGGGTCTTGTCTTATTATGCATGTGTACCATTATTTTGGGGGGTATGCTTCACCTTCCTCTTGGGTTGGATCTGTCATTAGCAGAAACCTATTAATTCATTAATTCTTCTTTTTTAAAATTTATGTTCTTATTTTGATGGGGCATCTCTTCATCATACTTAAATTAAATGTCTCATGTATGTGTCATTTTATTCTAGTTTTTGGTTTTACTGTGGGAAGTTCAGTGCCATGCTTAATTATTTTTTTATGGTAATGAAGATTGAACCCAAGGGTGCTCTACCTCTGAGCTATTTTCTCATCCATTTTTAGTTTTTAATTTTCAGACAGGTCTCACTGAGTTGCTGAGACTGGTCTCAAACTTGTAGATCCTCTTGTCTTAGTGTCCCAAGTACCTAGGATTATAGGCATGCCCCACCACATCCAGCTTGCCATACTTATCCTTTGTCTCTCTCCTTCTTACCCTTGCTTCTGTCTCTATAAAAACTTAGGCTTTCCTTTTGTTTCCAATGTTAGGGAAGTTTGAAATGGCACATTTGATGTGTCTATTCTTAAGCTTCATGGGTCTTTTCAAATTAGAAATTCATAGTTTTCATTTATGGGACTTTGCGTGATTTATGATACATATATAAGTCTTCTCTGTTTCTCAAGTCTCAAGAGAGTTAATATTATTTATATGCTGTATTTCCTGAATTGATGCTCTAAGTTACTTAAACCTTTTCCTATATGTTTTGCTCTGTTAGATATTTTTTAGTATTTATTTTTTCACTCATCTGAGCTTTTGATTGACACAATAATTTTTTTGGGGGGGATGTTGCTGAGGATTGAACTCAGGGGCACTCAATCACTGAGCCACATCCCTATCCCTATTTTGCATTTTATTTAGAGACAGGGTTTTGCTGAGTTGCTTAGCACCTCACTGTTGCTGAGGCCAGCTTTGAACTTGAGATCCTTCTGCCTCAGTCTCCCGAGACTCTGAGATTATAGGCCACTATGCCTGGCAGATACAATCATATTTTTAAAGTTTCTTATTTGTTCTCCTTTTATCATAACTTGCCTTTTTGATAGATATATTTTAATAAGCTGAGATTACTAATTGTTTTTCTAAAGTTTTTCTTTTCTTTCTTTCAATGATCTATTTTTTCCAAGTGGAAGTAGATTTCTCTATGCTTTTGTTTTATTTTCAGTCTTTGATGTTTGAGTCATTCTTGAGATACTTAAGTGACTATGAATTAGTGGCTCATGCATAGGAGAGCAGAGCACTGGAAGATGTGTACATATATGTTACTAGAAGAGTTTCTTGGAAGCTCTTGTGCTTGTCACATGGTGGGGAGGAGGATGGAAGGCAGTAGTGTCTGGTACGTGCATGCATGTAACCCACGAGCCTGCAGTAAGGTGGGGTGCCTGCCCTTCTCTGTGCTTGGCTTCCCATAGTCCCTGACCTGCATGGTGGAAAAGGAAAATAAGGGAGGTGTCTCAATGATGTGACATACATGTTACCCTTCCAGTCGTCTGCAGGGGTGAGGAAGACAAATTACTAGCCTATAGGGAGTGGGGAGGAGTATCCAAGCTCTATGTAGAAAAATAGATTTTCAGCCTCCTGTTTTCATTATCTCCTTCACCTTCCTTTCTCACAGTGCCACTTCTAGACTCTTTGGGGAGTTGTCTGGTAAACTTATGCTGCTTCTCAGCTTCTCCCCACCTTTGTTGAAGGAATGTTTTCTTGGCTTTGTTGAATCAGCCATTGCTTGTCCTTTTGCTCCCCTTTCTTTTATTTCTGGTGTCTCCCCCTTCTTGATCTCTTTGATTTTGTAGGTTTCTGTCTAGCCCATTTTCCTCTTATTGTTAGGGGGATTCCAAAACTAGAATACCCTATAATCTACCCTTTTCACCAAACATTATATTTTACCATTTTTTCTTGTCAATGAGTATATTTAATTCTATTTCAACATTTTAATGGCTACAAAGCCATCTCATTTCAGAGATGTAACTAATCCCTTACTGTGGTAAGCATGGATTGTGATAAGCAATACTGCAAGGAATCTTCTAGCTAAATTTTATACCACTCTTTAAATAGATTGGTGATGTTAGAAAATTGTGAATCTTCTCTTAAACTGTTTCTCCCAAAATGATGTCTTATTTCCAATCAGATGAAGAGGTTTCCTTTTCTACTTTAGACCATTCCAGTGTCACACATTTCATTTAACAACTTTTCCCAGAAGATGGGAAATTCAGTGGATGCTGTATTTATCACAGTGACTCAGGTTGTGTCTGGGGAAGTGATAGGCATCCAATACATGTTCCTTAAGTAGATATCTGCATAATAAATAAATTTTTATTATCTTATTTTTTAAACTTCAAAGACAGCCTGGTAAGGAAGGAAGTAGAATGCAGTTAGTTTTAAATACCCTGTTTTCATCACTTTATCCCTTCAGGCAATTCAGGTCATCAAGTTAGTAAGGTTGAGAACCAGATTAAAAAGAAAGGAGCCTTGGGACAGGGTAATATAGTGATATACCCACACACTACCTGGATCACAATCTTGCTGACATTCCTCCTGAACAAACTTGCAACAAATGGCTTGTAAAATGAAGTACTAACAGAAACTGTGTTTAACTTTTCTTTTCTCTATTGTACAGAAATAATATATACCTATTGAGATTAATGTGTGATTGGATTTAACAAATAGTCTTTGCTTAATCTAGCCTAGGGTTTCTCAAAATGGAGTCTGTACATCAGCTATCTCAAACTCAAATGGATCTTACTGAATATGCTCTTTCATTGACTCACCTGAGTTTCCAGAATCATAAGCACTGTGGACAGGGAAGGATTCTTTTTTTTATTATTATTAGTTCCTCATGACAATACAATGATCTTGACACATCATACATTTGAATCAAATGGGGTATAATTTCTCATTTTTCCAAGTGTACAGGTTGCAGAATCCCATTGGTTATATAGCCATGTTTATACATACAGCAATACTAGTGTCTATAAACGTTCAAAATACCTCACATGTCCACTGGTCAACATGCTTTACTAGACTAAGTTGGCAAAGAAATGTTTGTTAGGTACACATAATGGAAGTTTGAAAAACGTAATGAAATATCAGAGTTAATAATGCTAGAAGGAGATTCTAATAAATGTCATTTTATTAATTTTTACTTCAACTACTAGTCTCTAAGAATTTGACTAATTAGCTTAGAAACTGAGGAATTCATCCTAGATTATTTTCCCCTAAATTTCTTATTCTGTCATGTAACTGGTGAAATTAATTCGTGATTCAAAAAAAATCACACTGTAGCTATTGCATATATGGCACTTCTTACACATAACTTCAATTAAAAAACAGAGCCCCACAGTATTTGGTTTAGATAATATTTTGTTGAAATTTGATTTATAGTCTAGTTAGATGTGTTATGAGAGACATTATAAATTGAACATTGGTTAAGGTGATAGTTATGGAGGGATATGGTGTATATGAGAGCACTTAACACAATTCCTGAAACACACATCAATTAATGCATTCTCCCTTTTATGTAACATATGTTTGCTAACCTTGACATCAAATGTAGGTGTTTATAATTATCTTCATTTTAAAGGATAAGCAAATGAAGTTCAGGAAGATTATTTGTAAAGTTTTCCAAGGACAACTAGCTAGTGTGTACTCTAGTTGATTGTAAAACCAGGAAATTTTGTCTACAAAATCATATCTACTATATTGTCGTCCACCAAAGATAATAGGAACATCACTAAATAGTATGTCAGCACCTTCAGATATAAAAGCTGATGGGGAAGATGTATCTTTAAAAGTACATCTTGATATTTACTAAGTTTTTATTTTCCTACCTGATTTTTTTCAAGGAAATATTTCTGATAATTTCTTTTTTAAAAATACGTGATGTGTGTCAAATAGAGAAACCTTGTGATGTGGTAGAAAGACAGTTTTAGGTTTCAAGCAATCTGTATTTTAAATTCTAGATCCTTTATTTAAACTTTGTGAGTCTTGATTTTTCTCATCTGAAAAATGGATTTGATAATATTTAACCCTTGCATCAACATAAAGAGTAATCTTTAAACAGGGATTCATTGAGCAACTTGTACTCAGTTAAATACAAGTATTATAATTTGATACATAAAGCAGTATCCTGGGAGGATTCTGGGTATTTATTTGGGACATGTATAGAATATGAGACATACATAGAAGGTATATTTTTTAATATAAAGTGGAAAACCCTCTCTTTTCTGTTTAAACCTTAGTCATGAGTATTTCATTTCTTATTTACTCTTACATTATTCTTTGGAGAGAAGATTGTGGCAGGCTACCTTGCATTTGCTTTAACTCTCACTCTTTCTTCCTTTCAGCAAACTTCCATGATAACATGCTTTTGCGAAGTTCAGGAAAATTAAATGTGGGCACCAAGAAAGAGGATGGGGAGAGCACAGCCCCCACCCCTCGTCCAAAAGTCTTGCGTTGTAAATGCCACCACCATTGTCCAGAAGACTCGGTCAACAATATCTGCAGGTTGGTGATATAAATGATTTAAGCCTAGCTTTAACAAGTGGTCACACTTTTTTTTTTTTTAATCGTAAGCCAGTATTTCCAAAGAATACATTTTGAAGAATAGTGCCTAACTACAATAATGCTTAGAGCTGTGCTGTACTTAGGGAAATACAGAATTGTGTTTTACCCTGACACAGCATTCTGAGACGTCTTCCTTCCTTCATATAGCACTCATGCACATAAACAGCACAGATCCCAGCCTTTCTGTCAAGGAGCAAAACTACTTATTATTTTTTTTTCAAAATACCAGCTCCCTGCAGTCAATTCAACAGCAGCAAGTGCCACATATGTGTAATGTTTTTTTGTTTTAAGAATTTATGGGAAAGAACACCTAAGCTATTGGAAATATTGACAAACTGGCTCTGGGAAGCAATATCATGTGGAGCATATGTGAGTCCTTTAGATGTCTTAGGAAAGACATTGTCAAAGAACTAGAAAAGTCATCGTTGAACTTGATAATCGTGGTTTTATAAATGCTTTGTAACATTTGAAACTGAACGGTAGGCATTTTTCTTTCTTACATGTCCTTATGCACTCCCATCCATCTTGCTGATCACCATGGCTGTGTTTACTCTCTAGTGAGAACAGCAGTGAATAAAGAGCACAGTCTAATGAGGCCAGAATGTGCCAAGGGAGAAGTGGATAAGTTAACTAGAGAAGTGTGGATCTCAGGAGTTAAAATGTCAGAGAAGCAGAACAGACTGTGTTATAGTTTGGATCTAGAAATATCCCCTGAAAAGCTCGTGCTTTTAAAACAAAATCCCCAATGCAGAAAGGTTCAGAGGTGGGGCTTTTAGGCAATGATGAGAGCTGTAACCTCATAAGTGTCTTAGTTCATTTGATGAATTAATAATTTGAATGGACTATTAGGTGGTAACTGTAGGCAGGTGGGGCATGGCTGGAGGAAGTAGTTCATTGGAGGAGTGCCCTTGGGGATTTGATCTTGTCCCTGGCTTCTTGCCTATCCTCTCTCTTTGCTCCCCAGCTGCCATGAATTGAGCAGCTTTCCTCTGTCATACCTTCTGCCATGATGTTCTGCCTCACCCTAGGCCCAGAGCAACAGAGTCAGCCAGCCTTCAACTGAACCTCTGAAACTGAGCAAAATAAACCTCTGAAACAAAATAAACTTTTGCTCCTCTAATTCGTTCTTGTCAAGTATTTTGGTTAGTGACAAAACAAAACAAAACAAAACACCTGACTAACACACATCTGGGACTTTATCAGCCAAGAATGTATGGGAAACTGATTTGAGTCTTTTTTCATTTTCCTTTCAGAGAGTTTTTATAAAGTTTCCTATGATGCAGAAAATCTAATATAGGTTGAGAATCTTTAAAAATTCAGAAATCCAAAATGCTCCAAAATCTGAAACTTTAGATTACAGAAATGATGTGCCATAAATTGAAACTTACAAACCTAACCTTGTGTGGCAGGTCATAGAATACAAGCTCATTACACACATTGTATGTTATCTTCAGGCTATGTGTATAAGATGTATGTGAAACCTAAATGAATTTTATTTTTAGATTAGTTCCTGGCCCTTAGATATCTCAGGAATATGCAGTTATTCTAAAATCTGAAAAATTCTCATGTCTGAAATACCTCCAGTATGGGTAAGGACTGCTCACCTTGATAAGCTTACTAGAATATCCTGAAGACCTATATAATTAACACAAGAAATAACATATTAACTGACTAACACAGAGAGAGAAGTTGTTGGGTGTATTCAAAGGCACATGTCTCATTTAATCAGCAGTACCATTCAGAAGGGAGGGGAATTGCATATTCTCATTTTAGACATGGGATTTGGGATCCAGGGTGGTCTGGCAACTTGGGTCTTTACTATAGAACAATGCAGAGATCACTGAGTTTTATGCTATGGTAAAATAATTTCTAGTTGTTTTTCCTGGGAAACACTGTCTCTTTACAATAAACAGAAGATTGTCAGGAAAATTAATTTGTTTTTCTGAATAAAGATAAATTAGCAGGAGGAAGCAAATTAAGGGGAGGTAGTTTACTGTTTTATCTAAGCCTGTGGTGTTCGTAATACATCTCTGTGTCATTTGAGCTATTGTCTTAGTAATCCTTTGTTTAGGATTTTCCATATCTATCTCAGTTTAAAATATTTGTCTTTTTTTTTTTTTCATTAGCCACAGGAGTGTACTAAGTTGGCTTGGGAGAAAATGGCCAGGCAGGGGAATTCTCTGTTGTAAGAAGGGGACCTTATTGTGTTCAAAGAAGACTGGTTTTCTGAGAACAGAGGGAGTAGGAGATGTGATAGGAGCTGAGCATGGAGACAGGGGAAAGATAACTATGCCTGGTAGGCTGTCGTCAGCAAACCTAAGAGCCTTGGAAGCCATTGATAGAGGTGTTTAAGTGGTAGGGCCAGTGGAGAGTTACATGGTCCTTTTTGTCTTTTTAAATTTGCTTTGCTGAAGTATATTAAATGGGTCAGAAGGAAACAAAAGTGAATTCAAGAAATACAGTTAGAGAACTTGGAAGGGGATTCAGTAAGAACAGTCCACGTGAGAAAAGGATCTGGAGCTAGTGTGGTGTTGGTGCAAGAGAGAATTGGATGCATTTGAGAAACATTCAGAGGTTAAGTTGAATGTTAATGGATTGGATATTGGAGGGAGGAGGACAAAAGAATTTTACAAGGCTTAGGTTTAGATTTAAGTGCATAGTGTAGCCTTTTATTGAAAGAAGACAGAGGCAAAGAACCAAGTTCCTGGCTCCAAACTGAGTTTGTTTGTTTGTTTTTTTTTTTTTGACATTTTCCAATAAATAAGTGAAACAGTCTGTACAGTGGGATATGGATCTGTGCTCAGAATAAAGATTGCTTTGACGTGGAGCATTGGTTAGTGTTTGCTGTAAAATACACAATCTCAAAGTCACAGAGGCTTACATGTAAAGATGTTTATTTTTTTCACATAGAGGTTGATAGATGGGTTGCAGTTGTGCTAGGCTCTGCTGGGATTGGGTGGGCTTGACTTCGGGCTGCCAATGGGGTATAGGCTTGCTCTATATTTCTTCATTTTTCTTGGACCAATGGTTGCCTGGGACATTTCTTTCTCATTTCATCACTGCCGTGGAGGAATGATGTTTTAAAACCCCTTTCTGCATCATGTCCTCTGATATTCCATTAATCAAATCAAGTGATGCAGTTAAGCTCAAAGTCAAGGGGAAGCCATCGTGATGGAGAAGGATGAGGAATTGGGATCAATACCTACCAGAGTAGGACTGAGCCTTGAGACATTTAATGCTTGAGTCAAGGACATATCCCAGGAGATTAAGAATTAGTGTCCCCAATGCTAATTTTACCAAGGGAAATATTAAGGCTGACTATCTTCAATGCAATTTGAGGTCAAGTAGAAAAAGAACTGGAAAATGGCAATCAGGTCCAATGACATCAATAGGAGCAGGTTGGAAATATTTAAGGTAGTAGAGATGGAAGCCAGGTTGAGATGGGCTTTGAATTATATGTTTGCTAATCTTTGATTTTTGATAATGAAAGAAAGAAAATCACAGGAAGAAAAACAGCAATAACAAAAGAATCCCTCAAAAGAACATAGATACACTATTATGACCAGCATAGGTGGGTTAACTTGGAGAGGTCAACAGAAAACTAATATTTGCTGAAACTTTTATAAGTTTATAAGTTTAAAATAAATTTTATAAGTTTCAGTAGCATATTTATTTTACCTATCTTTAACTAATAAACATTTCTATATAGAATGTAGCATTATCTATATTTTCCAGGTAAGAAATCTGAGGCTATGGAAAGTTAAGTAATTAGTAGGTATGATGACATGATGAAAAATCGTGGCCACAATTCCAAAATCACGAATTCTTAGCCAAAAGCCAACCCTGACACTGGTTCTTAGAGGACTGAACATCCACTCTTTTTTTTTTTTTAAAGAGAGAGAGAAAGAATTTTTTAATATTTATTTTCTAGTTTTCGGTAGACACAACATCTTTGTATGTGGTGCTGAGGATCGAACCCGGGCTGCACGCATGCCAGGCGAGCGCGCTACTGTAGCTTGAGCCACATCCCCAGCCCCAACATCCACTCTTGAGTAAAATGCACATGTATTTTTCTAATGAGATTTCAACTCCAATTGAGACTTCTGTGAGCTGAGATCAATAATGTGCAAATTACAGGGACTACTTTTGTTCCCTTGTCCTAAGACATAGATTAAATCCTTGACTTTCCACCTTCATTTCTGTTAGCTCACACTGGATTCTTTGCCCTCCAAAGAGTAATTCTCTAGATTTCTCTGGTGAAAGATAGCCACCCCCTCTAAAAGTAAAATAAAAATGAATTATTAAAAAAATAATATAAACTTTGCAAATTACATGCCCCCTTTTTTCTATTTCTATCATTTAGACATGGATTTATACATTGAAATTGCTGTATGAGTTTCAATTTCTATATTAACTCCTTCACAGACCAGCAATAAGCAATTTTCTGTCCTACTGGGATGTAACTTAAGCAACGCTGCATTAAGTCTTGCACTCTGAAGTAAAGCAGTTTTCAAGGCAAAGGGGTACTTTCTTATGCCTTACATAAGGGCTGGTCTAAGTTGTTTGGCCTGAGGCCTTGTACCAGGCAAATGTCAGTCAAACAGTGTGTCCCAGGAAGGCTTCACGTTCATCACATCCCAAAAGGGACCAGAAACGAGTACTATCTACTATAAAGAGATTCTGAAATACGTCACTGTGAGATTGTGAGATATGTTAATTCAGAGGATGTGTACAATTCAGGGGTTCGTAAATTCTTCACTAGTACCATCAATTAATTGCTCTATCAACCAAGTTCCACGGCCAAAGTCATGCCTGGATTGATCTCTATTAGCTGCACGTGTGTCTGCTACCCAATTGCATGCCATTCCCATTGCTCATGGTTTGCATATTGGAGAATATAGTGCAAATATATCATGACTGAGTATCTATATATCTATAAT